CCGCCACTTTAGCAACACGCTATATATATATATATATATATATATATATATATATATATATATATATATATATATATATATATATATATATATATATATATATATATATATATATATATATATATATATATATATATATATATATATATATATATATATATATATATATATATATATATATGTATAGTGTTATTATTTACAAATAGAGTGCTCAATGATCTTAAAAAAATGTAAGTGTTATTATTTATAAATAGAGTGCTCAATGATCTTAAAAAACATAGTTATATTTTATAATTGTGTATTAGTATGTGTTATAACACATACTAATACAATGTGTGTGTGTGTGTATAACACATACTAATACAATGTGTGTGTGTATAACACATACTAATACAATGTGTGTGTGTGTGTGTATAACACATACTAATATATATTAGTATGTGTTATATACACACACACATATATATATATATATATATATATATATATATATATATATATATATATGTGTGTGTGTGTTATAACACACACACACACACACACACACACACACACACACACACACATATATATATGTGTGTGTGTTATAACACATACTAATTCTAATGTGTGTGTGTTTACACACACACACAGTTATAAAATATAACTGCTATGTTCTTTAACACATAGTGTTAAAGAACACACACACACACACACACACACACGCACATATATATATATATATATATATATATATATATATATATATATATATATATATATATATATATATATATATATATGCACACACACGTGTGTGCATATATATATATATATATATATATATATATATATATATATATATATATAGTGTTATTTGTTTTATTATTGATATTGTTCATTTAAGTCTTTACTGATTTACAAGAAGGTCTGTTGGAACAATATGTGACTAAAGCTTCTGATATTTATTATGGACTTTTTCCTAAGGAAGTGAGGAAACTAGCTTATCAGTATGGAAAAGCGAATAGCATAAAAATGCCTCATTGGAGTGCAAATGAAGCAGCTGGAAAAGACTGGTTCAGTGCTTACCTCAAAAGGCACAAAAAACTGTTAATAAGAAAACCTGAGTCAACAAGTCAAGCACGTGTTAATCTAACAAATGTTCAAAAGTTTTACAACAATTTACAAACTATTCTTAATTGTTTAAAGTTGGAAAGTGGAGATATTTGGAATATGGATGAAACTGGTATTACCACAGTTTAAACTCCAGATCATATTGTAGCAAGAAAGGGTTTTAAACAAATTGGGCATGTTACTTCGGCTGAGAGAGGCAATTTAGTAACTGTGACAGTTGCTGTTTCTGCCAGTGGAAATTCAATTCCTCCATTTTTCATATTTCCTCGTGTGAAATTTAAAAGCTATTTTTTAAATGGTGCTCCTGATGGAAGTGCAGGCGCTGCAAACCCATCTGGTTAGATGACTGAAGTTCAATTTTTGCAGTTTTCCCATCATTTTGTCAAATATGCCAGAAGTACAAAAGAACGACCTATTTTATTGCTATTAGACAATCATGACTCTCATCTTTCAGTAGAAGCTTTAGATTAAAGAAAATGGGGTATCGGTTTGTTTATTTCCTCCTCATTGCAGCCATAAACTTCAACCTCTAGATCGAAGTGTGTTTGGACCTTTTAAAAAATACACAAACACAGCTTGCAATGCGTGGATGACAATGCACTCTGGTTCCACAATGTCTATTTACAGTATACCAGGTATTGTGGGTAACTCATTTCCATTAGTACTTACCCCTAATAATATCAAGGCTGGTTTTGCAAAAACAGGAATTTACCCACTAAATGTTAACATTTTTGGTGAACACGATTTTATGCCAGCCTATACCACAGATAGACCACCTCCGAAACAAGACTGTGCTGTAGAAAGTGCAGCGCTAGATATAAGTAATGTAACGGATGTTGACTTTACAATATCTGAGAATGACATGTTAAATGCTGGTTGCTCAAAAGATATAGAACCACGTCAAGATATTTCATTTTCAAGCAGTAATGAGCACTGTGCATCTACAGAGTCAACTGTAGTTCTATCGCCTGAAGATTTAAGACTATTCAAAAAAGCTGAACCGAGAAAAAGAGTTAGGGATAATAAAAGAAGTAGAACCACATCAATTTTAACAGATTCACCAAATATGATAAAGAATCAGCTAAAAAGAAAAAGTTAGCAATTGGAGAGAGAAAACAAGCAAAAAAGTTAAATGAAGATAATATTAAGATGAGTAAAAGATCAAATAGTAAAGGAAGTTTACACTTAATGGAGAAAAGTTTGAATTGTCCAAATAGCTCTGTTGAAGAGGAGTGTTTTTGTTTGGTTTGTGTTGGAATGTTTTCTAAAAGTAAACCAGATGAAGTTTGGGTTCAATGCACCCAATGTTACCTTTGGGATCACGAGTCATGTATAATCGGAAAATCTTTGTTTTTCATTTGCAATAATTGCTGCTAGCCGATTTGAAACTCCATTAGTTAAAAATATTCATGTAATAAAACAATATAAGTTTTAATTCTTATTGTATAAGCATAAATTGGGAACACTGTTTTGTTTTGTCACTGTATTTTTTAATTATATTTACTTTCTATTGCTTAAAATGTTACAATGACTTGATCCAAAAGTTTGATGATATTGATAAAAGTATATTTCAGCCATGATTCCTTTAAAAAAAAGGGGCGTGGGGTTAAAATATTATTGGAATACACTTAAATAAGACCTTTAACTTTAGCTTTTACTATTGCGAGTCAACTTACCCCTTGAGTATAAGCAACTTACCCCAGGGTGGGGTAAGTTGGCGCAATTTTTTTTTTTTTTTTTGAGGGCCCAGAAAGACCCCAAAATATTTTTTTTGTAAATGAATGCAATTTTTATCTAAATTCAAAGTTACCCAAATTCATACTCTTCGAAACTATAATTTTATATTTTCAAAAAAATGTTTCGTTAGGACTACAGAGCTCATAGAGTAAAAACCGAGTCAACTAGCTCCCGGTCTCCCCTACATTAAATATATTTAAGTAGATTTATTCTCAGAAAGGCAATTTATAGCAATCTAAACGTTATTTCGACTAAAATTTTTTCTTATAAAGATAGTTTAATAAAACATTTTCTTGGTGGGACATACCAAAGAAAGCATATTACGCATTCTATTTTCTTTTGGTAACTCTAAAATAAAAACTAAATCTTTATTAAATTAGGCGTATTGGGTTGTCACATAAAGCTTAGTCAAATACTTGTATGGATACTTTTGAGTAGCATTTTGATTCATCATGATTAGTGTTAGGGTCAGGGTTAGGGTACTATTATGTGTATAAGTGGCATAGAGAAAAAATTAGACAAAACTCCAACTTCATGTGCTGTCAACATAAATATGCAAAATTCAAATAATCTAGTTCAAAACTATGAACAATATTTTAAGAAATAAAGGGTTTCCCAAAATTAACGCAAGATTTGAATTAAATAGGAAACTCAGTTTTTAGTCTTTCGATTGTAATTTTTTTATTGAATTATAAAGTACATATGAAAGGGTTCTTTATGGAATAACACATTGTGCAAATGGCCTCCAGGGCTTTCAAAACACATACGCACTTGTTTATCAAAATTTTCCATGACTGTTCGGCATAAATGTAGCTGAATTTCGTTGATGCATTGTTAATTATCCTTCTTTAAAGCACGAGTAATTGTGGGCTTCTTGACCTGTAATTTTAAATAACCCCATAAAAAGTAATCTAATGGTGTTAAATGAGAGTACACAACAGGGATATGTCTCATGCAGCAATTTAAGTGTTTTACGGGCTTTATGGCTTGTGACACTGTCTTGTTGAAACCACATATTGGCAACATCAATATCAGCTAATTTCGGCAAAATGAATTGGGTTATCATGCCGCGATATCGAGCACCAGTAACAGTACCTGCCTGACCAGCCTTATTTTAAATAAAAGTGTGGTCCAATTATGCCTCCAGCCCCAAAATCCATACTAAATGGATTTTAGGTTGTGACGCGTTGTGGATGCATTTGTTTTTCGACATTACATGTGGGTTTTCAGAACCTCAAAATTGGCTTTTTTTTGGCGATTAACAAACTCATAAAGGTGAAAATGTGCTTTGTTGCTTAGGATTATTTCACCCATTTATTATTTAGGTTTCAATTATTGTGTAATTTGAATTTTCTAAGCATGGAGACTCAGATCTTTAGTAAGTATGCGCTGAAGGAGAGCTTCATGAAATTTGCACTTCTTGTACACGACGTCGAATTGAGGTTTCTGGATTGTCACCGACACTCACACACTGTTTTGATATTGACATATGACTTGTTTTTGAACGACCAGTGTGTTTGACGTCTTCAACGGATCCTGTCTTCCAGAAATTTTTAATTAATCTCTTTACAGTTGACGAAGTTAAAACACAATTCCGATCATATTTTGTATGAAATTTGTTCGAACTGCGACCGCCAAGCTTTCGTTAAGACACGTTGTTTTATCATGCAGCGCTCCATTTTTACTAACCCTAAACTGTCAGCTGTCGATTTGTTTTTTTTTTTAGGGTTGTCAATACTTTATAAATGGCGCCAAAGTTAAACTTTGCGTTAATTTTGGGACACACTTTACCTTTTTTCACTTAAAAAAAGTTCTAGTAGATCGAATTGAGGTTTATATAATGGAGAGAACAGTTAACTAACTATTTGATAATATAGAGCTGCTTTGGTCCAAATGAACATGATGTAGATTTTTAAACAATTACTAATTGTCAGCGCTGGCCAAGCATGAGGAAAGGTTTAATGACTTTTGCAAAATAAGTGTGAGCTTATATATCCTTATAAAAAAACGTGTAACCCGCATGAAATTTTTATGAATAATGACGGCATTCTAAAAGCATATTTAAGGTGTACTAATGTAAATTTTAAATAACATTTCTAACATTTTATAAGTACCCCTGAGTCTTTCTAAATATTAATAATAACAACTGGTTTAAGAGAAAATTCTTAAAAATTTCAAAAACATTTATACATCATATTTACAAAGTATATACAAACTTAAACTCTAACAGTTAATATTTTTTTGACAAATATAAATACTTTTTCGACAAAACATAAATATTTCAAAAAACTACAGGATCTTTGAACATTTTATAATAGTAAAAATTGATCTTTTGAAACTTATTTATTACTTTGCTCATTTTGTCATTTAGAACAATATAAACATTACCATCAGATGTGTACTTTGCTTGTTTTGTCACTCGGAACAATATAAACATTACCATCAGATGTGTACTGTAATGAGTAATCAACAGAAGAATATAGTCCTCCATTACTGTCTCTCAGATGCATAAATATGTAGCTGTTTAACCACATTGTTTTTCTCCTAATTTCTAAAGTTTCTGCAATGATTTTATTTCTTTCATCTAATAGGTTGTTTTTTTTCCTGATAAGTTCGTCTACGCCAATATCTAAACACTTAATTAGATCATTTTTCCTTTTACGACAACCACGAGCAGCAAATTTATTTTTTCCTTTTCTTCTAACATCTTTTGCAATGTGTTTTCTGATTTCATCTAACAATTTAATAACTTCGTTGAAAGTATCAACTGGCATAGTAACAAGTTCTTCTGATGTGTATGGAAAATCAGGCCATATATTTTCTGATTTTGTTTCCTTAGAGTTTGTGACAGAATGAGATGGAGCAAAGGTATGAGATAACTCTGTTAACTGCCTGGCACCTACTGCAACGTCATTTAGGTAACTTTTAGTTGTATAATTTAAACTTGAATCTGACCTCTGGTAGTAGTCATGATCAACTTCAAATGCATTTTTTTCAATGAGCGCTTTTGATACTTCATTACTTTCATCATTCATTACTAAAAGATTGTGCAAAAATTAAACTAAAGGTTTTAAGATAAATATATACATAAATAATATTTTACAAACAACATAAAATTGCATTATACATATTTTTATTACATGAGACCTATAAAACTTAATAATCTCTTTTTTAAAGAAGAAAATGTACAACACTTGTAAATTGTGTAGAACTTATAAAAAAGAAAATGTAAAACACTTGTAAATTGAGCAGAACTTATAAAGAACAAAATGTACAACACTTGTAAATTGTGTAGAACTTATAAAGAACAAAATTATATTTTATACTTATATAAGAATAAAATTATATTATAGACTTATATACAAATATTTACATGTAACACACTGTATACTGTATTCTTGCCATTTTATACTAAATTATTATTTTTTTTATTATTAATATTTAAAGAGTATTTTTAAAACAAAAAAGTAATATACATATTACTTTTTTGTTTTGAAAATACTATTTAAATATTAATAATATAAAATTGATTAAAAAAAAGCTACAAAATTGTTAAATAGAGAGTGAAGGCAACCCTAAAAGCCAAAACAGTTTTAAACAATTAAGTGATAGTTTAAGTATATCGAAATGTAGTTTTTTCTTAATTTTATTTGAGTATTGAAATTTTTTATAGAATGTCTATTAAATATTTTTCCTCACATTTTTTGTTTAAATAGCTATTAAATTTAAACCAAAATTTCACTAAGATAATCTTTTAAAATTTTAGAATTAATAATAATAAATTAATAAAGAAAATTTATTAAAACTTTTCCTAATAACTGAATTTTTTATAAACAAAAAAATAAAGTAATAAAACACTCTGGATGTTATAATAGTTTAAATTGAATTTTAAAAATATTTAAATTCTTTGAATAATTTACATTTAACTATAAAAAAAATGCAGTTTACCTTTGTATTTTGATACATTAGGAGATAATGACTCTACTAGAGCTCTATCGACATCTTCTTCTAGCTTTAGTTCATTTATATCATAGTCTTCTATATTTAATGAACTATCTAATAACTTTTCTTTTAAAGATGAATTAGTGAAACAAATTTCAAATGGGTCTTCAAAAGATATATCAATCCCATATTTTGTTAAAAAGCCTTGATTAGGACTTGTTAAAAACTCATCAAATGATGGGCTTTTAAGAGGGGAAGAAACATAATCCAAATCATGATCTATATCTAATATCTTTGAAAATGGATTTAAACAACTTAATTTTTCTTTTTCATTACAACAACTTTGAGATTTGTAATTTGTTTCAACACCTAAATTTAAATCATTATTATCTAGAAGATCATCTATGTCAAAATCAGCTGAATAAGCTCCAGGTAAGCTACTAAAATTTTCAAAATTATTATCAGAGAATGGCGGTGATGAGGATGAAAATAAATAATCAGGTCTGGTTTCTGATAATGTGCTAGATGTTGGAGAATCTAAACTCAATCCACTTGAATCATACCCATCATCAATAAATACATTAGAAATTGTTTGTAATGAATTGCTAATTTTTTTATCGCCTTTATGCACAGCATTGACTGGTAAAATACTCAACTGCAATTCTGAGTGCAATCTTAGATCGCCTCTATGATATGCATTTTGCCAACTTAAAAGATTTTGGACTTCATATGAATAAACATTTGAACCCTTTAAATTTTGCAGATCATGGTACCCAGCTATGTTTAAGTCTAATTGAGTATTTTCAGCATTTTTATAAAGATTTCTAAATGTTGAAACAAGTCTCTTATTGAACGGAACGTTATTAAAAATCTGATTTATTTGCAGAGTGTCATTTGAAGATTGTAAAATCCATTTTGTGAACAATAAAGCTACGATAAAGTTACTTACACCTTGGTCCCAAATCATTACAAAAATCTGCAGAAATTTTATTTTTGGTTTTTGTAGACTTTTAAGAAATTGAGATAGGCAACTACATAAACTACAAAAGCGATACCAAATAAACTCGCAACTCGATGATAGATATTTACGATGCAACAATAAGCTTTAACAATGACGTAACAAGATTACCATTACATCACTTCCGTGTTCTAGAACTTTCTCATTTGTTTGTTATCTCATTTAAAAAAGATGGCTAAACTAATTCAAACATACTTTTGTGGTTAAATTATTAATCCAGAACAAGTAATCCAACACCATATTATGACAATTTGAATCTACACAACGTACCTTTAGCCTACTATAACAGTAAGCTGTTCACAAAATATCTTTTTTTTTTTTTTTTTTAATTTTATTTAGGTGCTCCGCGGTACTCTGTGATAAGTCTTTACGGTCTTATCACAGAGTACCGCGGATAAGCATTTAATCGGAAGTTCACGCCTCCTTCCTACCCGATGTCGTAAAACTTGCTAGGGCTGGGGTTTGAACCACGGATCCTTTGTTTGTGGTATTTCAATGACGTCATTGGTATATCATGTATACTAATGACTGGGGCCGAAAATAGGGGGAATGAGTGCGTGTGGGAGTGTAATCCCCCACTCCAAAACACTAAATCCTAGTCGGCAAAAAAAGAGTCAAGTTAGTCAGCACTTCAAAATGAACTTTTTTAGAAATGATATTTTATATATTATTTTTAGACTTAAGTTTTCGCTATCAATAATAATAAAAAATTTAAATCCGTTTCAATTATAAAATGTTGGTCAGTACCTTGCAACATTCTATAGGCACTTTAGTAAGTAAAGTTGTGCAGAATTTGGATAAAAAAGCGTTAAGAACACATGATTGAAATACATTTAAATCCGGTTTGATGTAAAGTGTAATCAGATATAGATCTGGCTGCATTGTACGTTACTGATTTTATTTATGTGTTCATACAACTTTTTAATCAGTTTTTGAACAATTTTACTAAAGTGCAGATTTATTTTGTTAGAAGTTACAATGAATATATGTAAAAACAAAAAAAGAAAGAGAACAAAATTGGTAAGTCATGTATGTAAAATTATACTTGATGATGATTCGTTACAGAAACCTGGTGGTATGAATCATCGATAAAATAACATTGATATCTAAAACTACACGATATCCAGAAAAAATCGTGTGTCCAGCAGAGGAGATGGGGTGGCAATTTATGTCGACTGTTCATTAAAACTTAATAAAGTAAGCGAAAAATTTATATTTGATTTTCTTAAACAAATTTGCTGCAAAATGTCATATGGTTCCGAAAACATCCTTCTGCGCTGCAAATACAGACATCCTATATCCACTTGAGAGAATTAAAGGATCCATTACTAAAGCAAACGACCTTCTCTTTTCTGCGGCTTTTTGATTTGTGGAGACTTTAATTTGTCAGGGATTCACTAAGATTTGAGTAGTATTCTAAATGTCAGCAACACGGATATTAATTTAAATAATTTTGTTGATATTCTCACCTAGTCGTTTTTTAAACAATTCGTAAATGAGCCCACTTTTTAACTTGATAAAACCTCACAGAACAACATCTTTTTATCTAATATTATCATTTTTTTATCTAACCAGTTAACTATTACATTTATTTTTTACTCACCCAGTGGAAACTGCAACGTTGAATTATCGTTAAAGCAACATTGCTACGTGATGTCGTAGTAACGTTGAAAATGGAAACTTGGATTGACGTTAATATACGATGTAAAGGCAACTTTAATTTTTGATGTTAAGACAATCTTATTTTCAGATGTAAGAAGTATGAAGATGTATTGAAGCTAAATCACAATGTAATGCTGATGTAAACATTAGGGGGGCTCGAAAAACATAAAATTTTTATGATGCTTTCGGGTTAGAGCGGAAAACTTATCTTTACACATAAGTAACCTCTGTGCAAAACTTTAACACCCTAGTACAATTTCTTCTGTTTTGGTAAGGGACTTGAAATTTCAAAAGTTTAGTAAAAAATCCATTTTTTAAAAATATTTTTAAAAATATTTTTTAGGCGTCACTGCATTTTGCGGTAGCGCGCAAAAGCCGTACATGTGTATGATTAATTACTGTACTAAATTTGACGCCCCTCGTAAAATTTTTTCTGTTCTGGCAAAGAGTCTAAAATTACACCAAAATCGACAAATCCGCTGTTTTTTCATTATTTAACTTATATAATAGCATACTATTATATGAATTACAAAATAAGTATATAAATTTAAGAGTACGAAAATGGTTGATTTGTAAGGTCTTTAGGTTTTGTACTGTCTCTTCTATCTAAATTCAGGCATGGTCTTTCTCAATTTTAGAGTGGAGCGAATAAATATATCCCGTTTGTTATACACTTTCTTTGAGGCCTCAGTAACCAACTTTACTGTTCTTTCCGAAGTTTGTGTGTGGCGTGGGAACTTTGTAAAAGCCCAATCAATCGGTATTGGTTCTTTTAGCATTTTTTCAAATCGTCTGTAGTGAGATTATTTTGTACTGGTGGTGTAGTAACTTTGTTGGACAACCAGTCAACTAGATCAATGTAGTCATTTGCTTCAAAGTCTATTTTCGGAATATAAAATTTTCTTTTTCCAACGTTTCCAACCATCTTAATGGATACTTGTGCTTTTATCACTCTTCGTACGCCGAGAGTTCTCATATATATTTTATCTTATCAGTTAGCATTGCAAACAGAATGTTTTTCTGGAGATGCAAAGTAAGCATTCCGAGAAGTTACTGGGTCAATGATGTTGTAGTTAACTTGACCCAAGTATCTAGATGATTGAATTAAGTTGTAAAGATGCCACGCTCTACCTTAATTAAATGATGGATTTTGATGCAAAACCATAAAGGTGCATACACTCTGAGAACGAACTTTACTATAGTACGTAAATTATTTGATGGTTCTGCGGTGAAAACATACAATCTTAATGATTCTGTTAGCTGTTGTCAACCAACGTGATATGTTTAAGGGGCCTGGATCTTTTTACTATTATTTATTTTTTTGTTATTTAGGTGCCCCAAGAATACCTATAGGTCTTGTCACAGAGCACCGCGGAAGTGCACTTAATCAGGAAGTTCACACCTCTTTCCTTACCGTGACGCGAAAATATGTCCAGAGCTCGTTTCGAACCTCGATCTCCTGCTTATAAAGCAAGCGCTGTAATCACTGTGCTACGGCCGTATAAATATATTGCTTAGTAAGACCTGGAGGACATATGCCTGATCTTATGGCGAGAGCAATATTCCTCAAATACCTCTATTCCTTACTCAAATTTGGTATAATAACTGATGGCAAAGTACAGTCATACATTGGAACACAAAATAAACTGTGTTTTGCGTATGCGTTCCAAAATGAAAACTCACACGCAAGCTCAAACGCATTTGACACAATTTATTGCGTTTACTTACGTAAACGTTAACGCATTATACGCCAATAACTGCTTTTACGCACGCATTTTATACTTAACTTATTTTATTATTATTTTTTTTTTTTCTATTTCCTTTGCCGTATCATAAATTTTATAATAAGAAAGATTGTAAATATATTGCATATATATATGCGATATGTACTAAAATTACTTACTTTGACGTAGACTTCTCCCCATTCGTTCTTTGTACCTTCCAGTTTAATTTTTCATTTCATTTTTTAAACAATTGTTTTCATTCTATTCTTTTGCTTTCTTATTTTTTCATGTTTATGATAGGGTGGGGCAAGATGCAAGTCACGTCCCCTGTGCATTTGATTAATATTGATTAATTCCTTTTATATTAAGATGACCATAGATACGCGTTTGGCGCGTACAGTAAGCGTTTGATGGTAGTTTTGCGCGTTTAGGTTTTGTACGCGTTCGTGTACGCGTTTATCTATTAAAAAAAAGCAAATAAAAATTCTTTAAAAAAATATTATTTGAAAGACCTTTAATAAATGAATTTTCTAAAACAAAATGAATGAAATTCCAATGAACTTAACTATAAAACCCGAAACAAAATTAATTAAATTTCCGTAAACATTAAAAAAAAAAGTTTTTAAAATTCCCATTTGAGAAAAATAAAAATACTTCGAAAGAATTTTTAACTACAACAAAGAAATTTCGTTTTACGCAAATTTTGTTTGTCTCGCCCTCTTGCTCTAATTATTATAAATCCTTAAATATTAATCTTTATTAAAATAACGCTTTGAAATTTATTTTAATAAGAAGATCATAAAAATAAGTGTTCATAAAAAAGTAATTTAAGATATTTATAACTATTTATACATCAAATTCAAAGAATGAATAATAAGAAAAGAAAGTTAAACACATTTAATTATAATTTAAAGAAAATGTTTCCTTTCTTAACGCAGATCAAAGATGAGCTCCTCAATGTACTATTTGTCAAAGCAGTGCTGGATCAAGGAGGGGCTAGGGGGGCTCAGCCCCGGGCCCCGCAAATTTAGGGGCCCCAAAAAATTTTAGAGGACCTTTTTTTTTTTTTTTAGTCATTTTTAGGTTCTGGCCTATAAAAAGGCCTCCAAAAACAAAAATAGCCCCGGGCCCCAAAAAGTCTTAATCCGCCACTGTGTTAAAGCCTATTTGACATTAGTAGTTGTGGACGGTCTGCAATTGAAGATCATTGCAAATCTATCAAACACAAAATGGCATTGGATGATTCTATTTCGTGAAACAAAATCACAAAGTTGATGAAGAGTCAGAGCTTTAGTCAAAACAAAAAAATATTAGCCATTCAAGAAGAAACAATTGCATTCCACACAATCAAACACAATTATAGCCTTAGAAGTGCTAATTATACATCAAAGCTAATTAAGAAATCTTATAATCCAAGGTTTACTTGTGCGCGTACAAAATGTGAAGCAATAATTGTAAACGTGTTCAAAAAATACTGTAAAACTAATTCAGAAAATGCTTTATTAAATGCATCGTATGTGTCAATTCTTTCTGATGCATCAAACCACAAGGACGTTAAAATGTATTAAAGAGGGAGTGCAAATTCAGTTGATTAACATGGATTGTGTAAATGGAGAAACATCAGATATTTTATCAGAAGTTATTTTTAAATGCATTAGTGCTATCAATATTTCTTCAAAAGTTTTTGC